ATCATATTTGCTATAAAAGAGATGTACTATTTACTATGTCAAAAGAGTGAAATCCCTCACAATTGTCACTTATTAATGAGTCTATTTCTCAATCAAAATATTTGATATTATCTATAAATATGAATAAGTAAGAGACAAGAAAAGAGAGTTCAATAAATAAATTTTGTATGTATTCAAACTTTACCTAGTTATTGAACGACTCAAATGTTAGTTTATATAAGTTTTCATTTGTCTATCTAAGCTCAATGAGAGTGCAACGCAAAGCATGGTGTATGAAATGGTGTGCACATAACCTAACTTAACAATTAAGTAATGAGTTTGGTGACTAGAAATATGAGTAATATAGGAAAGGAACATCAATAGGTCATAAAGTGTATTTTCAAATGTCTTAAAGGAACTAAAGACATTGCCATCATCTCCAAAGGCGATTTATAATGTATTTTGAAAATTTTCTATAATTTTGATTATGTCGTAGGATTGGATGTAAGACAATATATTACTAATTATACTTATAATTATAAATTATTTGAGTAATTGAAAAATTACTCTCTAACCAATAATAACATTTTTATTAATAAAACCGAGTATATGATGTTGAATGAAGCAACGATACAAGGTATTTGGTTGCCTTTTCTCTACTTCATAAGGTTTTAATTCTAATTCCAAGTTCCATCAAACAAATTTTTAATAAATTGAAATATTTTTAAAAAAAATTTCTATGATTTCCATAAGTTATATATAGTCTTATGAAAATAATAGAAAAATAATTTAACTTATGTATATAATATCAAATACTTTCTCTTTCATAGTGATTCACATTATATTTTTCCAACAATTAATATATATGAGATACCAACTTCATTTATAGATGAATGATCTAAGTGAAATTTGTTTGTCAAATAATCTAAGATTGTCATAATGAGAGAAACAAATATATATTGATGTCAAATATCACTTTGTTTGTACCGAAGAGAACATTAAAGTGAAGAAGATAGTACATAGGAGAATCTTGCAAATATGTTCATGAAGTCAATTCTTCAAAGTCAATTCATGCATTTTTTAAACATTGATTGTTGGGAGTAGTTTTATAGAAAATAAGTTATAGTACAACATGAATGTTTGCGATATATGTTATGAACTCCTCATTTAATCAAATTATCTAAGACTAGTGTCTCCTTCAATGGAACATTTGATAGATTGTTTGATGAGAATAATCATTATTTTTGTTATGTTTATCTTTTATTAGTTAAGACATATTTAACTAACTTTTATACTCTCTTGTATGTTTTTTGTTCCTTTATAAGGGTAATAGGTGTATATGTTATAGAAGCTAGTTGAATGAAATGAGTGCTAATATAATATTTGCATACAAATTCTTATCATCTCTCTTGTTTTGTGTGTATGTTTCTCTGTTTATTATTATTTCATTACGTTTTGTATGTATAACAAATAGAAGGGTGGTTGAATAATTTATTATTATAATGTAAAGATTTGTTCAATTAACTTAAGTTTTTTGCACAAATAAAGTTAAAAATGCATCTAACAATATTGGACTGAGTTGTTTAAAAATCGTCTAGAGATATTTTGTTGAAAAGAAATTTCAAAAAGAACTTATGTATATTGTGTGAAAAGGCTAACACAATAACAAATGTACTCCAAATGAGAAGTAAAAATAGAATACTTAAGTTTATAATGGTTTATTCAACTTACACTACATCGAATTCTCTTTCACCAACTATGAAAGATTCAACTAATCAATTTGATTACAAACAAGTATTCTAGTATGTCACTCATTACATATACACATTCTCTATGCCATTTTTGACATACCCTAAAAAATTCTCTTACATCTTTAGATACCCACATATAATTTTCATGAAGTTAGTATTGTCTTCATAAACAAATAAAATTGTTTTAAACCTCAATACAAAAATTCACAAAAATAATAAATAAAGTGGATAATATAAATAAACTCATTGAGTACAAGTATTTTTAGAGTACAAAGATAGTGTATATAGGTATAAGATTCTTTTAGGATAGCTTAATCTCTCGTGAGATTTTACTGTTTGAGTTAGTTTGTCAAAATTTGTTTAATTGATTGTGAACAATTCTTAATCTTATGTATCTTTAGAAATTACACATTATAGATTTTCGCTTATACATGAACATTGAAACATTTTATGCATTCTAATAATAACGAATCAAAGAGAAAGAAACAACAATAATACATCATTCTATCATTCATTAACTTTTGCTTATGCATAATCTATTTTACTTATACTTATTTGTTATAACACAAGAAAACAAACATTTTTATATAACATTTAACTGATATTACTTTTTACATTATGGATAATCTGAAATGTGTAATGAACACATTTTATACATGTTTTTATTTATGTATTATATATACTAACATAATTTTGATATATAATTATTTATACTTAACATAATTATAATAAATTAGATTAAAAGATAACTTAAAAATTAAATAAAAGTTTTATTTACATTTTATTGTATATTGATGTATAAATATTAAATTAAAAAGAGTTGAACTTTTACATAAATGGTTTTTTTTCAAAGGATAATATGCTTAACAAAATTGTTATTGTTCCATTTAAGGAATATGAATGTCTTAATCTCATGTCTGCTATGATGAGTCAATTCTCCTGTCCAAGGTATTATATGTTTTGTAGTTCTTATCTGTCACAATTTTATCCTTAAAATGTGTCTTGATGGATTGAGAGAGGAGAGTGTATGTATATTACTCTTGGTCTCGACTCCTAAGCGATGTGAGACCCATGAGCATACCATAATATAAGCCTCCCAATTGAGGACTAAGAGGTATGTATGAGTGGAGCGAAACTCTACTCTCAACCTTACAATGAACGCAAATTATGTTCTTATAAGGCTGAACATAAATCAACTATTCTATTAGATGAATCACTGGAGATTCCGACCGATGTCTCAAAATTCTTGTTGTGTACCTCTTAGTATTCAATTATTGGTTCTGATATACGGGAACATGTACCTACAAAGATACTCTAACGCTCAAGTGAGTGAAAGCATAATGTGTTAACAAGATTTACGTAGGTTAATTATCTTACTTTTTTTATAAATATTATAAAGCATTTATATGACTATGATTGAGTAGTACCATAGTCCTGTAGAGATGAGACTATATTACAATATAATTTTTATGAGTCAATTAATTTAACTAACATTTTCTTTTAACAAAATGTTACAAAGTTTAATTCAAGAATTCTCTAATTTTTTGAATAATTTAGTATAGACTTTTCAGCTTTTTCATTCTTCTTGTATCATTCAAGTTCATATTCAAGTTTCTATAATGTTAATATTTTAGTTCAAATTGGTTATTATCTTTGCAATTTTATAATTTCTATTGTTCTTAATTATTTTCTTAGTACTTTTAAGATTTATTTTCTAATATAATTTTTTATTATTACTAGATTTCATTCACTAATATTTTAAGCATTCATAATTTAATATCTTTATATCTATTTTTTTTAGAGTTAAATCAATTATATCATAAATCAATTTTAGATCTATGTAATTATTTCTCTTATAATTAAATATGTTTTTATACAATGAATCAATTAAATCTAGTTAACTGAAATATATATATATATATATATATATATATATAATAATAATAATAATAATAATAATAATAATAATTATAAACATCAATGAAAATCAACAAGACAAAATGAAATTAAGCATTAATTTTGTATAAAACTTCAATTGTTTCTCTCTATTTAAATCTCTCAAACTTATCTCTCTAAATATAAAATTTTTCTAAGATAATTTATCAATACTCGTAGAAATCAATTTAGATTTATTATATGTATTTGTTAGGTTAATAATTATTTATTGTTTAAGTCACAAACATATGATGAGTATATCAGAGATAAACATTTGCATCAATATTATAAAATCTGAAAAATCTATAAATTGATGTTTCATCATCAGATTCGATCTTTTTAAAACATGAAATGCTGAACGTAATACGCGAATCAGAACTTTAGATGAACCATTAGCCAATCAAAATTTCATACATTATTATAAAAAAAATTATGAGTGATTGAACTAGAAACACAGTGATATTATCCCATAACTAGTACTAAATGGTGCAATGCTAACAATTAATTTGTTCTCATTTACATTACAATATACAAATCACGTAAATAATAAATCTGTTGACATTGTATTTATTTAACTTCCTTAAAAAACATATCGATTATCAATGTAAAAAATTGTATAAATTTTCTTACATTAACCATGAACACTAACTTGCATTTAACTTACTTTTTATAATAATGATTTATGAATATAGCAAATATATTTTTGTGTGGTTAATTAAGAGAGTTAGTGGACAAAAACTAATGTGTATAAAAACTCCAAAAAAATTATTTGGTAGATGTAAAAAGTAAAAGCAGGAGCAGTTTTAGCATGTCTAGTAACAACTAACACACACAAGTCACAGAACCACTGAAATAGGCTTGTTTCTTGTGTCTGGTGGGAATAGACAACACAGAAGCGACACACATGACACGACACAGCACAAGTTGAAATAAAAAAAAGGAAAAAAAAAAAATGAGCAACGAAATTGGACTATGTATAAATTAATAAACAAAAGGAGTCCATACAACGGAGAGTGGTCATTCATTATTCCAACACAGTAACGCCGTTTCCTTTCCCATCCTCTCACACACAGACCGCGCGTCGTTCAACGGAACGCTGCTTCTTCTTCTTCGTCGTCGTCGTCGTCTTCTTCTTCTCTCTGCTTCAGCTTTGCTACTGGTAGACTCTTGCGTTGTTGTACGCTGTCGGAAACGGGATCTCGTGGAGGGAATAAAGAGATTCAGTGATTCGGATTGGTTCTTCTTCCAGAGCGTGACAAGGCGAATCGTTTTGATTTGGCGAATATATATCTTTTACTTTTAATTTTTTCCGCGGACGTTGACTTGCGTTGAACCATGTTGAGCCGCGCATCGAATGTTTCGGCTGAAGGTGGGAGTTGAATGAAGAAATTTCAGAATTTGAGGTTTCTTAATATCTTTGTTTGGGTTAATAACGGCGTTTTTTTTTTTTTTTTTTTTGTGGTGGTGAAGCAGTGGTTGGTTCGGGTGAGGGTGAGGATGAGTTGTATGAGCAGCTGTGGAAGGCTTGCGCGGGACCACTGGTGGATGTTCCTCGTGCTGGCCAGAGAGTGTTCTATTTTCCGCAAGGCCACATGGAGCAAGTGAGTTTTACAACTTAAGAAAATCATTTATGTTTTTTATTTTAACTTTGTGTGTAATTATGAAATCTTAATTTTGTTTTATTTTGTTATCTGTTTTGAGAGATTTGTCGACAGACCAAAGAGAGTAGCGTGAGTTTTGATTTTTTTTGTTTGTTTTCAATTTGATGTTGTTGGTGATGGTTGTTGTGTAGTTAGAGGCTTCAACCAACCAGGAATTGAATCAGAGGATTCCTCTCCTGCAGCTTCCCACGAAGATCCTTTGTCGCGTCGTGAACGTTCATTTGCTTGTAAGTGCATTTTTTTTTCCTTGTAATTGTCCTTCATTTTGCTATTTCTTTGTTATTTATTAAAATTGGGGAAATTATGAACCTTGTTTGGATGTAAGAGATGATGGTGGAAGGGGGCATCTTGGTTTCAGAGTTTATATTATTATGAAAAGTTTTAAATTGTGATTGTGGTTGCAGCTTTGTCATGAATCTTGGTGTTGTGAAAAATTACTAACAAATGCGGTTGACGTGACTGCAATTGTGGTTTTGGAGAATCCCAAAACTTGAACTGTATTTTGAGACCTTGAATATTATGGGGAAAAGGATACAAATACTTACTTTGAATTTTGGCATGTTAGGCTGAGCAAGAAACGGATGAGGTTTATGCGCAGATCACTTTGGTGCCGGAATTTAATGTAAGGATGTAGATGCCCCTTTTGGTTTTCATTGTCAACCTTAGATTCTTTTCTTCGATTGTTTAGGTTCTAATGGTATGAATGTTGTAGCAAGATGAACCCACAAGTGCTGATCCGTGCACTGCTGAACTTCCAAGGGCACCGGCTCACACGTTCTGCAAGGTCTTGACTGCTTCAGATACTAGCACCCATGGTGGCTTCTCTGTTCTCAGGAAACATGCTACAGAGTGCCTTCCTGCATTGGTAATAATACAATCTTGTTTTTGTTAAATTTCTTTTTGGTGTTCTCTTCCAGGTTACCTTATTTCAGAAAACTGTTTTTTTTTTTTTTAATTTGTTTTAAAGGATATGTCCCAACCAACACCGACCCAGGAATTGGTTGCAAAGGATCTTCATGGTTATGAATGGCGCTTTAAGCATATATTTAGAGGTAAAGGAGATGAGAATTGATAAGTTTTCTTTTCAGTCCTAGGTCTGATTGCCTACTGACTTTACCTTGTTTATATTTTATATCAGGTCAGCCGCGCAGACACTTGCTCACAACTGGATGGAGTACTTTTGTGACCTCGAAGAGATTAGTTGCTGGAGATACCTTTGTGTTCTTGAGGTAAACATTCTTTGGTTTTCATTTGTACGGTTCATAGATCTTCTTGGTTTTTAATATATTCATGTAAAATATTTAAGTTTTTCTATACTAATGTTACTTTAACTGAGATCTTGATTGTAGAGGGGACAATGGGGAGCTACGAGTTGGAGTGAGACGTCTAGCTCGCCAGGCAAGTAGCATGCCTTCATCTGTTATTTCGAGTCAAAGCATGCACCTGGGAGTTCTCGCAACTGCCTCTCATGCTGTTGCAACTCAGACTCTTTTTGTAGTATATTATAAGCCAAGGTAGAAATTTTACTTGTTTCAAGAACTAGAAAATGTAGTTAGTGAATGATTGCTGATATGAGTTGTTTTCTTAGGACGAGCCAATTCATCATAGGTGTGAATAAGTATTTGGAGGCTGTGACCCACAAGTTTAGTGTTGGCATGAGGTTCAAGATGAGATTCGAGGGGGATGATTCTGCTGAGACTGACAAAAGGTAGTACAATTTGTCACGTTATTTTATTATGTGACCTTTTCATGGCTGTTCTAATAAGTTATTGTTCAGATTCTCGGGTACCATAATTGGAATTGAAGATATTTCTCCTCATTGGGAAAATTCAAAATGGCGATCGCTCAAGGTATTGTCATCTTTCAATCTGCGGTTGTACATTTACCTTTGGTGATCATGTTACTCATCTTTTCTTATGTTGTCAATCCCCAGGTTCAATGGGATGAACTTGCAGCTGTTCCAAGACCTGAGAGGGTTTCACCATGGGAGATAGAGCCATTTGTTGCTTCTGCTTCTACACCCTCAGTTCAACCCACTGCTATAAAGACTAAAAGGCCCCGACCATCCAGCGAAGTTCCAGATGTTGGTGAGCTTTTAATTGTAAAACTCTTATTTGTTATATTGATTGTGTTTTTGGTTTTGTTTGACACTCAACAATTACTTTCAAACTAGACACAACATCCGCGGCTTCTGTTTTCTGGGATACTGGTCTGCCACAGCCTGATTTGACACAAATCAATGTTTTGACCGAAATCAAACGGAATGACAATACTGGTACATGGCATCATATGCAAAGTGACATGAATAGTAAAAGCAACAGCAACAACACGTTGTTAAGGAATCAGACAGAAGGAAGTTGGCTGTCATCTCCTCATTCCAGTTGTCCATCTCATTTGTTTCAAGACACAACAGATGATAGCAAGAGTGTTTCAGCTTGGCCTGTTTCAAAGCCTCACTCGTCCAGATTGAATAATGAGCATGCGCTTGACCAAATTGACAAGGAGAGCAAAGAGACTGCTACAAGTTATCGGTTGTTTGGAATTGATCTTATTGATCATTCTAGGAACTCACCTGCTGTAGATAAGGCATCTCCACATGCCGTAAATATACCTAAAGTTACTACTGAAGGATGTACCAGCACCTTGTCTCAAGCAGATGCTGGCCATAAGTCGGAGGTACCAAAAACTTCTTCCAAGGAGAGGAAACAAGAACAGCAACAAGTATCTCCGAAGGAGACTCAGAGCAAGCAAATTTCTAGAAGTCGCACCAAGGTGTTGAACATATATTGTTTGTTTATATAAAACTGTTAGATGTTTTATATTCGAAGTCTAATAAGATTTTTTTCTAATGTGAGCTTTTCTATGATGTTGAAAACCTGCCAAAAGGTTCAAATGCAGGGTGTTGCAGTGGGTCGTGCTGTAGATTTAACCATGTTGGATGGGTACGAGCAACTTATAAATGAATTAGAGGAGATGTTTGACCTAAAGGGACAGCTTCAACACAGGAATAAGTGGGAAATTGTCTTCACTGATGATGAAGGTGACATGATGCTTGTGGGAGATGATCCATGGCCGTGAGTATCTATTGAACACAATTATAGGACCACACAGTGGCACACGTTTCTATGAAAAGAATAAGTTGTAGGAACAATAGGCTGATTCAGTGAAGGAACAATAGAGGAGAAACAAAGAAAAGTAGACGTAGATGATTACATAGATCAGTGTTACACCATTCTGATTGATTTCATATTTTCTTGCAGTGAATTCTGTAATATGGTGAGAAGAATCTTCATTTGTTCCAGCCAGGATGTGAAGAAGATGAGTTGTGGAAGCAAACTGCCAATCTCTTCGGTGGAAGATGGGACTGTAATAAGCTCAGACACAACTGAAACCTGAAACTTTGACATTCTTTCTTGTGGTTTTGCGTTTGTTTGTCAGCATCCAAATGCTGATTATTCTTCTTGTTGCTTCAATTGTTTGTGGGAAGGAAGTAGGTCTTTGGGCTTGGGTAAGTTTCATGTTATTAGGTGTGAAACACTAGCTAATTGTAACTTAATTTGTAGAGACACAACCAGGCATTAATTGTGCTAGAGAAAAGACCAAAACAGATTTCTTTAATAAATTAGTGGGAGATGGCAAATTTAGGCTTAGCATCTGTGAATATTCATGTTAAGTTTGGAAGAAAAATGTTGGGGGTTGATTTGCCTTTTTATGGGAAGGGGCTTATCCATTCATGCTTTGTATGCATACCTTGTGCACTGTGCTCTCAAAAATTCTAATCTGGGTGACTCAATATCTGTTGCTGTCCTCACTGAATGTAAATTATGGCATTAAATTGCTTCAATTGTATTTTTCAGAAATACAGTGGTCCACCGTAACAGTGAGTCCCTGCAGATTCCCCTGACAAATGGGTTGAATTTTGCAGGGTGGTGGCACCCCTCAAAACTGTGAAATTTCGTGTTACCACCCATCTCTCCGTAAAAAGGCTTTTTCATTTCTCACACTTCTGTTGGATTTGAACCATAATTCCAGCAATTCCCACACAGGGAGGTCTCTTGCTTTAAGAGAAATGAACACTTGCAAATTTGACATAGTCAACTATTGAATTTTGACTTTAAGTGATACCATATAAATAAATCGAACAATCATAAATATGTAATTTTATATGTATAGTTAATATTTATTTACTTTAAATAACGTATTATAGTTAATTAACAGTATTATTAACCTAATGTATATTAGAAATATCTTTTAAGTGAATTGTAAATTCGTATTTACTTTTGAACGTGGAAAAGTAGAATACAAATTAAAAATAATTAATGTTATTATTACTTCTACTTCAACTAATTACTTTGATTTTTCACCGTTTTTTCTTTTTCTTTTCTCGCTCATCTTTCCAATTAAAATTCATGTTCGATTTTTTTTTTCTTTTCTTCCACTCACTTTAATAATTAAAAGAAATTTAGTTGTAATATCATAAATATGGTTTATATTGTTTTAAATCAAATTTAAGGTTTCACTTTTCATAGGTAAATTGGCGTAACGAGAATTGGTAATTTTGCTTGGTAAATAACCCTAGTAAACATATTTGATAATTTTTTCTGCTGACCTTTTGAGAAACCAAGAGTCAAATTAAATTTTTAGGGTCTATTCTCGTTATTAAAATTTTGGGGTCACAGTCGATTTTGAAGTAGGTATTCTATCTATACTTCGTGCAAATTAATTAGACCAATTTTTTTGGCACAACATAACCAAGCGTTGAACTTTTCTTTCCCTGTACGGCGGGAACAACACAGACCACTGACTTTTGCCTTTGGGCTTAAATATTATCGTTTTTAATTTTAATTTTATTTTTCATGGTTATGCACTTTCTTCTAATCCATTTCTTCACGCACAAGTTTTTTTCTTTCTCTAAAGAAGACCAAATAGTCAAAGATTAAACAACAATATAAATTTAACGTTGTATTTTTATTGTTTTAATCGAAATAAAGATACAACTTAGTTGTTGTTTATATTTGAATTAGATTTCAAATTTAAATTAATAATATCCATGATGGTAAACCAATGAATAAACCTCAACAAAACTTTATCAGTTAAAATAAAATACTAGGATTATAAATGTAACGCAATTTTACAAGAGTTTAATTAGAATATTGTTTGTGGTAGCTAAGCATATATAATTATAACTATCAGTTTCTATAATTTTTTCCTTTGAAAATATTTTTCTTTGAAATTTTACAAATTTAATGAAAAATTAGTCAATTTCAATACTTAATTAATTGTTTTAAGAATTAAAATTCACTGAGAAAGTTATCGTCTAGAGTAAAAATATGTAAGTAAAATCATAAATTTTTTTGTTTACTTTCATATTTTTACTTTAAAGTTTAAAGAAAATACAAGTTTCAATAAAATATAAATCACTATAATAGTTACTCGAAGTTAGAAAGACATTAAAACTATTTAAATTTGAAAAATAATAATTATAATACATGTAAATTTAAAGTGGTGTAATAAATAAATATAAAAGAGTTACACTGGTAAAATTTGGGTATATACATATATATATATATATATATATATATATATATATATATATATATATATATATATATATATATATATATATGATAGTTGTTAAGTGGTAAAAAGTTGATATAATTATGTCTTGAATTGTTATGAAACCAACTTATGTTAATTCTAATATATTTTTATCCATGAATTCGAGAATATCTTGATACAAGAGTAAGAAACAAAATTGTCAGCATAATTGGAGTAAAATTGAAAGAAAAAAAGAGCGCTTAAGCGAATGAATAATGCAAGACCCAACCCAAATTCTCTTGTAAAAAGATAAGTTGTGTTTTGAGAAAAAGAAGCAGTCTTGGAGGAGAGGAGACACAACTACTATTAGGGTTTTGTCTAATCTTCATCAATTCTTCACTTCTTCATCAATTGGAGCATTATAATGACCAACATGAGTGACTAACTTCATTCTCTTAGGATTCGGTGCACTTCCTTTGAACTCTTTTGTATCATGGTGATATTTTGAGATATTAATCTATGCTTTGATGTTGTTATTCTTATCCTTTATGCTTTGGAATGATTTATTCTTGATTGTTTGAGGTATGATTGGAAAATATATCTTGAACCCTAGATCACGGTAAGAATATTTGTTACGTTAATTGCCATGAATGAAATGAATGTATCAATTGCTTAAACACCCTAACCCTAATGCTGGAAAATCTGTTAATTGTGTGAGGAATCAACATTTATTAGGTTTTCTTATGAATTTCATGTATGAGGAATCAACATGGATGATTTGAGTAGGTGGCATCAACATTGTTAGGCTAATTGGCGTTCTTAATTGACATAACCATTACAAAAGAGAGATAAGGAAGGAAGCCAATTCTAAGTACATTTAATTGATATTTTCTCAACAATTTACATTTCTTTGTCATTTAAATTCAACTAAACTCTTATTTGTAAAACCCAATCTGTTTAATATACTTAGTAAGCATAATTAGAAATTTTCATTGAAACTGTTCCTCGTGGGATCGACTTTTATTTTATCGAAATACTATATCTGCGATTGATAATTTTGGTACGCTTGCCAATAATTCAACAAGTATTTCATGGCGATTCTTTGAGGAACGGTGTTCTTTGAGAATTCTTTATTTAGCTTATTGAGTATTTTATTTTTATTTCTGTTTTTATTATTATTATTATTATTATTATTATTATTATTATTATTATTATTATTATTATTATTATTATTATTATCATTATTATCATTATTATTATCATTATTATTATCATTATTATTATCATTATTATTATTATTATTATTATCATTATCATTATCATTATCATTATTATTATTATTACTATTATCATTATCATTATCATTATTACTATTACTATTATTATCATTATCATTATCATTATCACTATTGCTATTATTATTACTATTACTATTACTATTATTATTATTATTATTATTATTATTATTATTTAGTTTATTATTAATATTTGTTTGAGTTACTCTTTTGATTTATATTTAGTTTTTAGTTTGTGCTAATATTTGTTTGAGTTACTCTTTTGATTTATGCGTTTAAGAGGACAGATATATTCGGAGTAGTTAGAATTTAATCCAGAGATTGAAAAAAATAGCTCGGAGGAATCGGGGTAGAAGAAGAAGGGAAACTCAAGAACAAGCCACAAGAGAATCTGTTAATTCTTCTTTCACACTTGATTTACCAGACCCAATTATAGAAGATATGGCGGAAGAAGGAGCAAATCTGAATCCAAATCCAGATTCCAATATAAATCTAAATCAAAACCCAAATGCAAATCCACCTAGAAGAACTCTTAGAAATTGTGCTATGCAGCAAGGTCCAAGACATTTTTCCAACATTGTCATTCCGGATGATCATACATTGAAAATGAATCCATCTTTCTTAAGCTTGATTAGTGCTCATCAATTTACTGGATTGGATCATGAAGACCCTTATATTCATTTGTCTACTTTTTATGAGTTGATTGGTACCATGAGATTTAGAGTAGTAAATCTTGAATATGCATATTTGATATTATTTCCTTTTTCTTTGGCAGGTAGGGCAAAGGAATGGCTGAAAGCACATCCTAATCAGAGTCTGACTAATTGGAGTAGTGTAGAAGAGAAGTTTATGAATATATTTTTCCCACCATCCCGTTACATCAAAGCAAAATCTGACATCACTTCTTTCAGACAAGGAGCAGATGAATAATTTTGTGAAGCATGAGAAAAATTTAAATCAGTGTTGAGAAGTTGCCCAAATCATGGATTTGATGACGTTTCTTAGTTGAATATTTTCTATACTAGCTTGCAACATGATGCAAAGATGTTATTAGAGGCTGCAGCAGGAGGATCTATGTTGGATGTAGAAATTGATCATGCCACCAGAATTATTGATGCACTAGCCTTTACAGACCAACAGACCCAACATGATAGACATCCAATTCAAAGGAAGGGAGTACTTGAACTTAACAGCTCAGATGCTATCTTAGCCCAAAATAAACTTATAACGCAACAAATTGAAGCATTGAACCAGAAGATAGAGAAATTACCTCAACAAATGCACACAATACAATCTATTCTTAATCAACAGATGAGTTGTGATGTGTGTGGAGGTGATCATGCAAATGAACAATGTTCTTATCAAGACAATATTCAGCAAGAAGAAGCTAATTATATGGGGGTCCAAGGTAGTAGTCAAGGCAGACAAGGCAATTTTCTTAATCCCAATAATTATCAGAATAATTTTGCACAAGGATGGAGAGGGAATCAAAATTAGAATCAGAATTTTGGGTGGAACCAAGGTGTTAGCTCATCTACTAGACAACTTGCATTTCAACAACAG